TAACGAATTTGATGAATTTTTATTGAAAAAAAGCACAAAAAGACTCCGTATTTTTTCAAGAATACTTGATATTTGTAAGGAGCTGATAATATCAAACGTGGTGGCAACAAAACGGTAATATTTATGTTATTATTATTCACACAAGGGAGAAAAAAAAATAAAAATAAAATATTTCCCTTTCCATATATTAATATTAATAGAAGCGTTTATTACCGTGATGTAAACCTGTTTGGGAATTCAGAACGTGTTGATCGGGTAAAAATAATCAATTATTTACTAAATAGTTATTTTCTTTGATAGAAAATATTGATTCATAATAAAATCTAATAATAAAGGCTATAGATGATTTATGTTGTATTTTTCGGGTTACGGGAAGATCCCTAAATTTGGTGAGAGAAAATAATAAAATGAATAATATTTATGACAAAAAAAATCTGTAACCACGGCAATTAGTTAATTAATATTTTAATTGAAAAAAGATTGCTTCTGCAAAAGGGTTGATTTCTGGAGATTTTAAGCTATTCAAAAACAATCAAATTATTTTAGAAGATTCTATAAATTCAACAAACCTTGGTGGGGTTCTAATTCAACCAATCGAAATTAATAATAATATAGAATATAATATCCTTTTATATTGATCTATTTGTTATTGCATGAACAACATTGACTGAAAAATTAAAGGTTTTTTATGCTATTATTATCATTTAATTATCATTTATTTATTTATCTAATAAACAATTAGAAAGTGAAGCAAAAATTATCATTGTTGTAGAGAAAGAGGTAAATAACTAATTATTAAAATATAATCATATTAATACTAATTAACCAAACTTTTTTGTTATTTAGGCAACTTTTCAGACATTATTATCTAACAAAATATTTCAAAAGTTAGATTCGTGCATGTTAATTACTGTAAGTACTATCAACATTATTATATATGTGGGAAAAAATCTTATCTTGTTTTCTAGTAGTAAATTAACGAAAGGATTTTTTCCCAGATTGTATATATATTAATTAATTAATTTATCAATGAAAAAATCAACTAATTAAAGAATTTTTATTTTGAATATTTTATAGGGAAAGGGCTATCCTGTAAGTCACACACACACCCACATATAAATTTCTTTCCCTTCTAAAAAAAGGAAATAATGACTTATTTTTTCCCTTCAATTTTTTCATTGAAAAAGGATGTTGCGACTAGGCAACTAATTAAATTATTTTGTGATTTACAACCTAAAATCAAAATTTTGGGCTTCTTTGATAGTGATCCTCACGGTAGGTACATTTTTATGATTAATTATTGATTAATTATTTTTAAAAATTATTATTATTTAATAATTTATCTATTTATAAATCAGGGATAGAAATTTTAAGTATCTATAAATACGGGTCGCAGGCAAAAATATTATTTTTAAATAATCAACCATAGCATTAATTAAAAAAATTTTTTTCTTTATTTCAGGCCAAATATTACGATAATGAAAATTTGGCTGTCCAAAATTTTTGTTGGATCGGTTTGCAGTGCAGGGATAGAAAGGAGTAAAAAAAACTTTTTTTGTTATAAAAATTGAATTATATTGATATTTACTATTATTGATAGTATTATTAACACTAATAACTGGCTTTACAAATTTTTTTATTTAGTTATGATATCCCAGATAGTGCACTAATCAAAATGACGAGCAACGATCTAAAAAAGTGCAGAGAATTATTAAAAAATGATAATTTACCAGAGACCTGGGGGTGAAAAATTTTTCTTCATTATCTCTATCATTATAATTGGAATTTTGACTCATTATTAATTGAAATTTATAATAATAGGACTGAATTAAAAAGGCTTTTAAAATCCAAAAAGAAAGCCGAAATTGAATCGCTTTGTTATAATGATAATAACAATATGTTGAATTATCTAATATCAAAAGCTAATAATAGTAAATATTGGTTATAATTTAAAATGGTAAATTGAAGAAATTTTGATTCTTTTATCGATTTTTAATTAATTAATATATATATACGATTTAGGTCAGTGAATATTATAAATTTCGGATTTTTTTATGGAACACAAAATTTAAAAAATTGAATGTAGCACGAAAATTGTTAATATCATGATCAATTTGCATTTGATTTTCACCTTCTCTATATCAATTTCGTCATCACCATCATCGTTTGTTTCATATTCTTCATTAAATATAGTTAAAGACATTTTCCTGATATTGCATGAATACTTGTCAATTTCTCCAAAATCATGAATAGTTTCTTCAATACTCTTTTTTTTTAAAAAAATATTAATTTGAAAATTTAATTAAAGAATAGTTGATTTATTTCAATAAAATTCGAAAAAAAATGAAAGAACTTACTTCCCTTATATATTTTTTTTGAAAGCGATAGTACATTTTATCTTTTATTTTTAAACTTCGGGCGAATCTTTGGTGATCTGCAAATTTGTTACACGAAATAATGACCATTTTTTTGACTTTTAAAGAAGGTTTTACAAAAACAATATTAATAGCAGCCAAATTTTTATTTATAGATCGTATTATTTTGACCTAAAAATCATTTTCATATTAGGAAGTGATACACTCCGAACTAAATTTGGGGTGGTTTATATGTAAAGGGTCGATATATCGACCCTTTGACCGTTTAAGGGATAATGATGAATATAACATTCAAATCAAAAGATTTACCATGCTTATTCAAAAATCTTGTTGAGAGATATCAAAATACTCTTTTAGTTCAATGTGAAACTAAGGAGAATCAGAAATGGCATTTTGCATCAGGAGAAAAATCAACTGAAAGAGCAAAACTTTTGGCTAAGTATTTTCCTGAATTATTTTCATTACTTAATTCTTTAGAAAATTATTCTATATGTGAAAAACATTATAATCAGCTTGTTGCTAATAATTATTTTATTGAGCATTTGAAAAAGATAGATAGATAATTCAAGTTCTTCATCTACCATAGAAGAAAAAGGCCTAAGCTAACTACTGACAACAATGCAATTAAAGCTTCCATTTACAGTGAACCCTCTATAAGTGCACCCCCCTCAGGAACATAGTGCTATTTCTTGTGAGCGTACATTTATGGAGGGTGTGCATTTATGGAGGGTGATTTTATAAGCTCTCTATAAGCTTGGGGATGAGATTGGGCCGTGCATTTATGGATGGTATACATAGTGTGTGCATTTAGGGAGGGTGCACTTAGGGAGGGTTCACTGTATGAAACTTCAAAAGATGATGAATTTAAGGGTAAAGGCAACACTGATCTTGTATTTGAATTAGAAGATGTTAAAAAACAATTAATGCAGTCAGAAAAACAACAAATATATTACATCAACATCATAAAAGATTATGAGCAGAGAATAAAGAAACTGGAATCTCAAAATGAACAATTAATATCAGAAAATAATGATTTGAAAGAAAAATGGAACAGAAAATTTGATGATCAAGCAATAAGAATTGAATACATTGTAGAAATTGCTAAACATGAATGTAAAAATATATATGATGATATCATTAACTTAATTAATGATAAAAACGATTTAGTTTAGATAGCCTTTTAAAATATTCTACTTCTGAATGGTTTCTAAACAAAATCCCAATAGTTGTTAAGTTTCTTGAAACTCTCAAATTAAGTGAAGCAATGAAATCATTTGGCTCAACAGCCAAAGCTCTTCGAATAGATTTCATTAAAGAAAAACTGGGTTCAAAAAAATCATCAGGAATTACTCATATAATCCCTGTTACTGTTGAAGAGCAAGAAAATCAATTATCAGAAAATTTAATGACAAACAAAGAATTAATACTAGTAATTAATTCATTGATTGGAAAATTGCTAAACATGAATGTAAAAATATATATGATGATATCATTAACTTAATTAATGATAAAAACGATTTAGTTTAGATAGCCTTTTAAAATATTCTACTTCTGAATGGTTTCTAAACAAAATCCCAATAGTTGTTAAGTTTCTTGAAACTCTCAAATTAAGTGAAGCAATGAAATCATTTGGCTCAACAGCCAAAGCTCTTCGAATAGATTTCATTAAAGAAAAACTGGGTTCAAAAAAATCATCAGGAATTACTCATATAATCCCTGTTACTGTTGAAGAGCAAGAAAATCAATTATCAGAAAATTTAATGACAAACAAAGAATTAATACTAGTAATTAATTCATTGATTGGATCCTTAGATGAAGCTAATAAGCCACAATTTAAAGGACTAGGAGCAAAAAAGAAAAAGGATTCACTATTAATTCTGCAATAAGTCAAAGATCTCAACAATGGTGCTAATGATGGTGAAATAGAGGAGACAATTTAAGATGAATTATATCATCTGCAAAACCAAAATGAATTAAGATCCAAAATTAAACTGCTCAAAAAAATTAATATAAAATTTTATCATCCAAATAAAAAAAAATAAAATTATATATTTTTATATATTAATATATCAAGGGAAAAAAATATTTTTTTAGGGGATAAGAATGTTGCACACAATTTTAGAATTTTCAATTGTATTTCAGAACGTTGATCATTACAGTATTTAGAAATTCCAAATTTG